AGAGAGAGAGAGAGAGAGAGAGAGAGAGAGAGAGAGAGAGAGAGAGAGAGAGAGAGAGAGAGAGAGAGAGAGAGAGAGAGAGAGATGGCAAGGGGCGTTTAGAGAGAGAGAGAGAGAGATGGCAAGGGGCGATTTGTGAATATGTACGCCGTGGAGTACAAATACTTTTCAAAATGTTTTAATCTGACAAACATATAGTATTCATCTATCGGAAAACTGTCACACTCATGTGACTGATTCCTAAACGTTACCGCAGATGTTCAAGGAGCCGATTTCCTACAGTACATGGGTGAAGACCTGTGATACACTGCCACACATGTATGGTACACGTCTGCTACACTACGGTACATATATGGTACACAGACGAAGACCTATGATACACCGCCACGTCAGTATGAAACATGGCCGAAGAAATATGCTACAATGCCACACATGTATGGTACACGTAGGGTACACGTATGGTACACGTATGGTACACGTATGGTACACTGCTGCACATGTGTGGTACATGGATGAAGACCTATGACACACTGTGGTCCCCATGTCAAACACATGTCAGACACTGCAGTCCACATGTCAAACATAGCAAAGTGAAAGGAACCATGACTGGCCGAAAATCACAGCTTTGCACATGTCAAACACATCAATGTCATGGCGTTCGCCGGGCGGCGCCTCGAAACTCCTCCGTGTCCTGGGAGCAGGTTGTCGTTGCCGTGCCATGGTCCATGCTCGAGGACTGGACGGTCGTCGGACGACTGGCAGAGTTTGTGCGGGCCTGTTGAGATTCCCGAACAAGGTCGGCGATGACTTTCCACCCGTATTCCATCTTCTGGGAAATAAGCTCTGCACAATCTCATTGCACGGCAGCAGCAATAGACGATTGCCGATCAATCGCGGAGACAGTCAGCTGAGCACACTGTAGGGTCGCGTCTGTGTGGTGCTTCAAGGCACCTGTTTGTTCCCGCATCCAACATCCCAACTCTTTAAACGACTTGTCTCGTGCATTCTGGGGGGTGCGGGACTTCTTGTACGAGGGGGAGGGATCACTGTCATGCGCTCCCTCTGCAGCCGCACCGTCTGAAGCGACTACCGCAGCTCCCTCACGGGGACCACTCCCCGGTGCGGCGGCACCTCCGCCCGGCGCACCACCTGCCGGGGGTGGCCGACACTCCTCGAATCTGGTGCCCGGGTCTTCACAATCACGTGGATGCACAGAAGGGTCATCCCAAAAGAAGACCTCCAGCAGGTCAAAACATTCCTTCAAAAGGATGAAATTGAACCCCTTCTCCACCCGCTTAGCTGCGGCCATCCTCCAGTAGCTCTGAACCCCGCTTCCTCTGTGAAGGGCTGTAACTTGTCTGTACGTGGACCAAATGGTCCGCCACCTGGTCCTGCATTCGAGCCACGTGTGTGCGAACCCTCCAGCGGTCAACGCACTCGCAATCTCCTCCCATGTTTTCTTCGATGTCCGACCGTTCCCCATATCCTCCGAATTCACGACACGTGCGACGTATCGGTTGCCTTTGGCACGTATTAGTGCCATGGTGTCAAGGTGGGCCCACGATCCTCGTGGGCGGGCCGGTGCCGCGCCCTGGGAACCATCATCCCCCAACCGAGTGGTCTCACCTTGCGACGATTGCGGTTCGTTGCTGCCATAACATCCCTCCGGCATGCAATGGACATCTACGGGTTCTCCACCATCTTCAGGCCGTGACCCTGCAGCATTGGCAGCGCAAGCGCCGGTGGCATCACAGTCTCCATTCGCCTGGTGCACCCGAACCATGTCTCCAGACAACGTCTCGTCTGCGCACTGCACATCGACATGCATATTCACCTGGTGCACCCGAACCGTGTCTCCAGACAGCGTCTCATCTGCGCACTGCACGTCGACATGCATATACATATCCACATTACAAGCGGGCTCGCCGCTTGATCCGTTATCCGCCATCCCCGCACAAGCATCTACAGAAGGCGCTTGAGACTGAAATGCAGTCCACTGCATATCAACCGCTGTCCCTTGGCTGCCTGCCAATGTGTCCTTCCCTGCTGACCCCGCTCCGGCGTTTGGACCTCCTCCAAACACACGCTGACCGCCTGCATCGTCACCGCCTCCCCCACCCGGCCTACCCCCCTCGTCACCGAGGTCGACGGTCACAATGTCCGTCACACGGACGGCCGCACCGCCGCAGCTGGCAGTGTCCTCTAAACTTGTGTCATGTGCATTGTTCGACAGAGTATTGCAGGGATTAAATGCAGCAAAGGCTCCATCTTTTCCGAAAGTCGCGTTCTCAGTGCGCGGCAACGCCGTCCCTGCACAACCCGGCCGTTCTACAGCCGTTGCGAACCCAAGGGGTGTCGTGAAAGGTGGCGTGGAACACACGTCCACAGAGAAGTGAAGGAGGGCACCACATCTTATAGAAGGAGAAGGCATAAATACAGGCCTGCAAGATGTGGTCAACCCTTTGCCACGTCCTGACCACCGGGATACCAGCGCTCCCACTGGCGAGGGACGCCGCTCCGCCCCCCCATGCCACACGTATGTTGCGCCTTCGGTCTGTCCATATCCTACCCCCGATTCCCTCCAGCCGGCACCTCCTGTTGTGTCTGTTCGGCTGTTCGCAGCAGCGCGCCTTGGTAGAAATGAACCCGTCCTACCACCAGTGGATCTAAAAAAAGCAGTCGGTGAACCGCCACCAACACCTCCTGTGCTATGTCCGGTGATAGGAGACTGCGTAACAGGCAGTTCGTCTGCTTCCATTGCCCTTGCCATCAAATGCTGGCGAAGAAGGTCGATGGACTCGGTGGATGAATCCGTCATTTCGAAAAAAGGCAGGGGCTGCATGAACAACTCAGCAGAAGTGGTGGGTGTCATTGTCGTCCGTTCTTGACGGTCAGATGTCATACGCAGCCCCTGCCCCCAGCTGGAATCAATACTGCTTTCCATTGCCGGCGACGGGAAAATGTGTGCAGGGACACTTGCGAAAGGACTGCGCGGAGAGAGGAAGAGAGACAATGCTCTTAAGGCCTGGAACTATCTACTGTTAATTGCGTTCCTAAACCGTAAAGGCAAGGGCATCAGACCGTACATACGCAACACAAAAAAGGACGCAGAATGCTATACAAGGCACCACCAAGCAGGCAGTCGAAAACCTGAATCAGCAAGCGGTGTGGTCCCAAAGTTGCACAAAAAGGAAAGCTGACGCACAGCAAGACAAGCAGGACTTCGAACATTAGAGGACCTCTTCACTGCCACGCAGTTGCTAAGGACGAATCAGCGGTGCATCAAGGCAAGATAAGCACGACTAATGTTAGGTAAAATTAAGCGGGGGTAAAGAAGCCTGTGGGCAAAGCAACGGTAAAGGTAAAGTAAAAACGACCATGTATTGCATATCCCAGTGGCATACAAAGCGAGCACGACAGGACCCGCATGTATATCCGCAACTCACAATGCAGTGGAAACAGGGAACGTATGAAACAGGGAACGTACTATGTTTTTTTGTGCCATATGTCAAGGTACTTACGTCCAACAACACCCAACGAGAGCAAAGGAAAAAGAAAAGTATGACTGGAGCGTGGTGAAAGAAAGCAAGAAAAAAAAAAAACCCATATTCCCAAGTTGCGAAGCTGTGAACGCTACGACGATCGGCATCTGCGAAGCTTTGGTGGAGACAGTGTCACTGGAAAGGCGACAAACATGAATCACAAGAACGAAAAAGATAGGAATTATGTGGCAAGATCTACACACAAACATGTACAGATGGTCAAGACTTCATGGCCAAAAAAGTGGAAAGTTCGACACACGCGACTGGGATGCAGTCCACAAATGGTGAACTGTGGATAAAGGACATAGGAAAGGCGCGAACTACCCCGTTTGAGCAGCACGTAACAACCATAGAAAGAAAGGTGAGGTGAAAAACATCAATGGCGCAAACAGCTGGTTACAACCGTAGAAAGAAAGGTGGCACTGCCCGCCCGCCCGCCCGCCCGCAACCTGCCCGAACTGAACTGCCAGCCGTCTCCACTACGGAATGTTCCGCACCTGACCTCCGAAGCACCGCACGTCCCGCCAGGGAGCATAACACAAACCGATTGCTACACATATGCCCGCAAACATAACAACGGTATGTACGGAATGCCCCGACACGTAATGATGTATTTATGTATAACTAACGAGAATCCATATCGATGGCGGTGCCGGGAGGGACTTCATGGCGACCGTGGATGACATCTGCCACAACAGATCAACGGCCATTGATGAGCAACGGTTGACACTGGCCCTTATGAGGAAACATCCCCAACGAGGCAAAGCAGGTTTAACTTACCCATAGGCCCTTACGGTACAAGGAAAATAGTGGCTACCCACAGCTCCCCCCCCCTCTACTGGCCATTAATGCCACCGTAAAACCTAACAACATGCCCTCCCTCCGTGCCTGGGGGCCATGCACCTGAAAACAAAAAAATATAATGGCTAGCCAAGATGTGGCATCGAATTCGGTCGCTATTCAAAGGTTTTTACGTGTCAAAGCAAGGCCATGCGGATTTCCGACAAAACAACGTGCATGGGGGTCTCGCTCCACTACTCTCGAAATGTGGAAAACGAGAGTGAATCTACCGCTAGAACACGGAAAGATACACCACCATGATTTCTGTCCTTTATGCAATGCGAGAGTAGTGGAGCGAGGCGTTGGGTCAGCGAAATGCACGGCCTTCAAACACTCCGGAAAACCCACATGCAGAAAGAGCATTCCGATGGGAATGGACCTTAAAGTTTCCATGTTCCAGCGGTGGATTCAGTCTCATTCATGACATTTCGAGAGTGGTGCATGGCACTTCGCAATACCCGCACATTGGCCATACACAGCACACCAGCGGAATCGTCAGAACATCAACGACCTGACAGCTGACACCCCACCCGCCCCCAGTTCGTGGTGGGTGGACAACATTGCACGATTTTCTAAAAGTTTTATTTTCACGGAAAGGATGCCACCCACCTGTCCCCCACCCGTCCCACACTCGTCACACTACTCCACATACCTGGCTAGTGGGATCTCCCTCCAGGTAAATTCAATATTGTGTCTAATCTGACATCGGGTGGCCTTTTCAGCTCAGTTTTTCAGCCTAATGGGGAACGATGCACAATATATTTTTTTTTGTTCTTCTTTTTTTTTGGGGGGGGGAGTCAGACTTTTTGAATACTCACACTTTTTTTCTTTTTTTCTTTCTGAATACTCACACTTTCTTTTTTTTCTTTTTTTTTTATTATTGAATACTCACACTTATTAGTCTAGTGTTTTTTTTGCTAAATCACAAAATCGGATATGCTGGAGGAGAAGGGGCGGCGAGAAGGGGCGCGACGGTTGACGTAAAATTAGCGCTCCAAGTTAGCGCTACCGGCGGTCGGCCCAGGGCTCCTCACCACGTAGGACCCCGGGGCGATATGGCAAAGGTCCTTCTCGGTAATCCCGAGGAACTGTCCTGTAGGCAAGGGACATGTTAGCCTTCGACCGACCTTACATGTGAAGGGCGATGGTGAATGGGTGCGAAAATGCGTGAATGGTGTGAAGACGACGAATGGGTGTGCGCCGCTTAGGTGCCCACCACTGATGCGAAGGTGCTAAGACACATTACAGTAAGCAAGCTTAAGGTAGAAGGTGGGAGTAACGGAAGCAAGCGTAACAATGATGTCAGCACAACGTAATCAAGAAGGGGGGAGACAAGCAGGAAGATCCCTGCTGAGAGAACGAAAGTTGTGGCTCTCGGAGGACGCAAGAATCAATTTATTGATGAACAAGTGTTTCGAAGACGGCGTCTACCCAGAAAAGCTCAACCAGGGGGAGTTTGTGGTCGAGAATGCCGAAAACATATTCAGAGTAGACCGCACCTTGGGGGAGATGACGACCATATGGTTAAAAGAGAGGGTGGTAACCATAATTTTTCAAGGAGCGGTCCGAGATCTACCGTTGAAGGTCAGAGAAAATTTTCTGAGAGCATATGAAAATGGTTGGGTACGAAGCCGCATTTTCAGTCGGAACAAAGAAGAGGAAGACTCCATGGAGAAGGACCGAACGTGATGTCCTACATAGCGATGTCACGAGAAGTGGCTTTGTGGATGATAACTAAAGCGGATGACAAGGTGGTGATAAAGAGGGTGGAATACCGGATGCTGTTCAAACTGTGGATGACAAAGAGGGAGTTGGAGGAACGAACGAGGATGGAAGATGAAACGCGATTCTGGTTGATGGCGCTGAGAGTACCTGTTAGAGCCATGTTCCACTTGGAAGACATGATAGGGAAGGGAATGGGGAGAGTTATCAAAGCACACCCGACAGAGCCAGATAAGACAAGGCCGAATATTATGAACATGAAATTTGACATGATCAGACAGGCGGAGACAAATTTCAAACCTGCAATTCCGATGAAGCTCGGCGATGGGGAGATAATCAAAATAAAATTAGCGTGTAAGAATACCCCGTGGTGCGAGCGCTGCAGAGGGTAGTTCCACACTGCCACGAATGGTTGTCCAAGACTCAACGATAAAGTTATGCAAGACCAGGAGGGAGCAGGACAGACAGAATCAAGAGGAAGAAACAACAACCGAAGAGAAAAAGTTCTCAATGAAAGAGATATTCAAGAGGCAGCACGAGACATCCCTACCTTCGATAACGCAGGAGCGGAATCATCAGCAAGTGGAGCTTCAAGGGCGAATATGAGAGCAAGCACTAACGAACGTCAACAGAACACACGTCCACCAAACTCACAGCAGCAGAATAGCGGCCAAATCAGGTCAGCGGTAGTACCGCAATAAGCATCACAGGGGCAAGCACAAGTACAACAGGAGTTGATGTACGCTCAAGGCTACGAAGGACAACATGCCTCCCAGAACAGTGGTATTCTCGCATGGCAACAACAAGCGGCCAACATCTGGAACTATGCAGCACCTTGGCAAGCGCTGGGAGGTTGCGCCTACCCATACCAGCAACAAAATCCTACGGGGAATATGCTTCACCCGGGATATTACCCGTTTCCACAACAATCGGGAGCGGAAAATATGAGTCAACCTCTGATGGGGCAAGGAAGCGGACAACCACGGATGTATGATCACGGCGGAAGGAGTGAAACGAGAGGGAACAGAGGAGTTGACACAAGAGATCCAACATGCGAGATGGAGATCGACGCCATAAGACAGTTGGGCAAGCGGAAGATGAGGGCAGAAGGTTGAAGGCAAGAAGCATGAGCACAAGCGGAAGACAAGTACGGACAAGAGGAAAACGGGGATGGAAGTGAAGCGGACAAATCCGAACAAGGGGATAGCGAATTCGAAGATATTCCCCTGGGAGCAGACGCACCAGCGAGAGGGGGGAGACAAATATAAGAACAATATATGCTTCCATTTATATTGGCGCTCCACGGACAAGACGTCTTCGTGCTAGGTCTAAAGTACACCGATGACATGATGACTCTCCTGACAGCCCCCTTGGTGGGAATACCATCTCACGAGGAGATCGTATCAATTGTGATTATTGTGCATAGACTGTACGATGATAAATTTAAATTTAGAGTGTTCCCGAAAGATATGATCCCCAAGATGTCCGTCGAGCTACAAGGAGGCAAAAAAAATCAGATATTTGATCCCACTAGTGGACGCGCGCAGCCCCACGGAGTACTAGCATGGAATGCAGAACGTGGGGATGAACTATGTTCTGCTGAGGAGCTTTACCACCGACGACCCCGCGATTCTATCAATGGTAATGGCTGACCCAGGGATCTCGGCTCACTTCCTCTGAAAACTGGATGAGAAGTTGCCAAAGAGAAGGAATTTGAATTCCCTCTACCTGGCGGGCTGCCTTCGAGAGAGATGGTCGGAGCACCTACAACTGGTAAAAAGCAGTAAAGGGCGAATCCAACAGGAG